TTAGTCAGAAGTATGACAAGACAGAGAATTCATAGAGATCTGGGATCTTGCCAGGAAATCTGAGAGAGACTAGCAGTATTAACAAAACCTGTGCCGATTGTTTGCTACTTAGCAAAGAGCCCGAGACCTTACACATTGTCCAAAGGAAATAGTATTCAGTTAGGAAGCATACCTGTAAAGCGTTCTTCCTATTTAAACCAATGGAATTCAACTAAAAGTAGTTTACATAAAACACAAGGAAAATGAACAGCCCACAAAACCCCCAGCTTTCTTCATATTAAAAATCTGGAGGTAGTGATTGCAGCCTGATGCAGTCTCTCAGTGACATCACAAAGGACTCCTATGACATATAATACTCTAGGCTACCATCCTAGTGCCTTGTATTATATGAAGGTCACTGTATGTTGTGACTGAGCAATAGGAGTTTTGACAGCATGAAAGCTCTTGGCTTCAGTCACACTAATATATAATTTTCTCCCATACCATAGGCTGCCAACTCTACTTTTTTGTTCCTTGTATGTCCAGTTCCCTACAGTGCACTTTTCTACCTTTTCCCTTTCCATCAAAAATATTTCATCAGATTTCACCATTAATATTTTTGTTTGTGCTTTTAGCAGTTGTGATGTTCAGGAATGTGGCTGTGGATTTCTCTTAGTGGAAGGGTAATGGATGGGCCTGAAAAACAGGGATATTTACAGACATGTGATGTTGGAGAACTAGAGCCACCTCATCTCACTGGGGAAGATTCAGAATTTGAACTTAGAAATTCTTGCTATCGGGCTGGGGAAATAGCTCAGTTGGTAAAGTGTTTGCCTTGCATGCACAAGGCCCTGGGTTCAATACACAGCACCAAAAAATTTAAAAAAAGAAAGAAAAAGAAAAGAAAAAAAGATATTTCTGCTATTACTGTGGATTGTTTTTAAATATTTACATGGCTTTTTTGACCTTTTTTCTTGGGAAATGGTTTGTTTTGTAAAGCAAGCAGTTGCCAAGGTTCAGAAATCCTCTATCATTTTTGTTAGAATTGTGATTAACCAAAGTACCAGCTGGAGATTTGGAACTTTTAGCCATGTGGTCTTTTTTTTTTTTTTTTTTTTTTTTTTTAATCTGCTGGTTTGGACTGTGCTTTATCAGCCAGACATGTTCTATTTATTCAGGAAAGAGCAAGAACTCAGGATTGTTCGAGGAATGAATTAAGAGGGTCTTAACCAGGTGAGTGTGGGTAAGCATCATCAGGCAGCCATCATAGATAATAGCTCAGCTACTTAATGAGGCACCAGCACCCCTAGAATATCCAGCTTGAGTATTACATCCTGACAAAATATCTCTGATAAAAGCTTGAAATCCATACACAAACCCTTTTTCAAGAGAACTTTCTCTTTACTTCAGATACCTCTCCATTTCTATACTTTTGTTTTCCCCTATTATTACAGAAAGGTTAGATGGTTGCTATACTTTTCATATTGTGGATTATTGGGATCAAGTTCCTTCCTATCTTTTTAAAAATTTATTTACAAATTTCTTTGCCCTTTAGTTTTGTGGCCTTAGTTCTAATTTTACCTACTATCTCTTGAATTTTTCTTATTTTATGTTCTTTACTTGCTTGTACATTTTCTTCATCAATTAATTTATTCTTTGAACTAACATTCATTGATTTTCTAATTTTATTTTAGGTTTAGAAGAATTAACAGAGTATATAATACATTGGCCCATTGTCCCAGATGTTGCACATGCATACAAACCTAAAATATAGTATATAATATTTAATGCAGTTACGTAATATTTAATAAAATTATAAAGCAATAAAAGCATTATTATAGTTAAATGATAGTTATGTGAATATAATATGTAATAACTAGATTATGACTTCTAACCTATTTTAATGCACATGTCAAATTCATTGAAACATTCATAGAATTAAAAACTTGGGAATTAATGGGTTAAGAACTTTTTTWAAAATTTTATTTAACTGGAACATGGCTATATATTTCTGCATGATGGCTCTACATTAAGAAAGAGCTAGCCGGGTGTAGTAGTGCCTATAATCCCAGCTGTTCAGGAGGCTGAGGCAGGAGGATCACGAGTTCAAAGCCAGCCTCAGCAATTTAGTAAGGCACTAAGCAACTCAGTGAGACCATGTCTCTAAATAAAATGCAAAATAGGGCTGGGGATGTGGCTAAGTGGCCAAGTGTCCCTGAGTTCAATCCCCAGTACCAAAAAAAAAAAAATGGTTGTTGAAAATCAGGATAATAGGCTAAAAGGTTTTTTTATCTTAATAACCAGGAAGTGGCAGAATAGAGGTTAAGACTAAAAGACAGGAGAACTCATCTTCAAAAAGAGAAGTCCTGGCTAGTCTAGTACCCCATATTCTCATTTTTTTCTATATTGATAATGATCATCATTTATTAGTTGTTAAGCATTTATTCTGTTTTCAGGTGATTTATAGAAATAGTGCATTATTTCCTACTATATCAACAGAACTCTGTTAAAAAAAGAGATTTTATTCTTATTTAACATATAGGAAAATAAAAATTCTGTAAAGCTCAGTAATTCTCTCATCACCAAAGGTAATTTCAGTAAACAGAAGTAGTTGAAACTGTGGTTTGTTATCTTTCCCCTGGAGTTACTGCTCATACCTTATAACTGAACTGTCKTTTACCTCATTCTATTGCTCAAATTCTTGCTTAGTTTCCAAGAAATTCTGTTCTCTTAAGAAATATTTATACCACAAATGGATGACATTTTTACTGAATCCTAAGTACAGATGAAAAATGAATCACAGAAGATTAAGACTTCTACATATTCCTAACTCTTGCCAGACTCATGTTCCTTTGACAGATTTATTGAACTATTTTTCTATCTGAACTGTCATCTACAATTATCTTCATTGATAGAAATAGAACATACCCTGTGTTATTAAGTGCCTGGTATACTTGTAACTCTGGACTGCATTGCTTCCGATATACTCAACGGATACTGTATTATTTCCTTTTTTAAAATTTGGAATTATACAAAATATCGATCATAGTGCCTTACAAAGTACTTTCAATTTAAAGCTGTTTTCTCACATACTTTCATTAGCCTTGGTTAGAAGAGCAAAAGAAAATCAGAGGAGGGGCTGGGATTGTAGCTCAGTGGTAGAGCACTCGCCTAGTACGTGCAAGGCCCTGGGTTTGATCCTTAGCACCACAAAAAAATAAAAAATAATAAAAAATCCATCAAAAACTAAAGAAATATATATTTTTTTTAAAAAAAAGGAAATCAGGGTAGGGCTGGGGATGTGGCTCAAGCGGTAGTGCGCTTGCCTGGCATGCGTGCGGCCCGGGTTCGATCCTCAGCACCACATACCAACAAAGATGTTGTGTCCGCCGGGAACTAAAAAATAAATATTAAAAAAAATTTTCTCTCTCTCTCTCTCTCTCTCTCTCTCTCTCTCTCTCTCCTCTCTCTCTCTCTCTCTTTAAAAAAAAAAAGGAAATCAGGGTAAAGGAATTAAAAGCACCAAACAGTTAATGCTATTACAATGGATGAGCAATATATAACATTAAGAATACCTAAGTAAACAAATGCACTTTGGTTAGGACTATATGACAAAAATGACTTGATATAGTGAAGGAAATGAGCAAGGTTAAATATTTACATGTGAAAAAAACAAATTAAAAAAATGAGAAGATGGTGGGGATGTGGCTCAAGCGGTAGCRCGCTCGCCTGGCATGCGTGTGGCCCGGGTTCGATCCTCAGCACCACATACAAACAAAGATGTTGTGTCCGCTGAAAACTAAAAAATAAATTCTCATTCTCTCTCTCTCTCTCTCTCTTTAAAAAAAATGAGAAGATATGATCACATTCCTTCATATTTATCTTTCATCACTCTAGGCTGGGTATGCTTTTGTTGGCTATTTGTAAAGAATGTCAAGAAGTATGTGTAATAATTTCCCTACAGATACAAAAGACATGAGTGAGATAAGTCACATGTTTATTACCCTGATTATCCTGTCTGTGTTTCCTAGCCCCTAGATTTTTTAATACCTTTCATCTATCCTAACTGTGCTGTTTTTCTTGTAAGTTTATTTATTCCACAATTTTTAATGCCTAATGGTTCCTAAAGTTTGATTATATCACACTGAATTAACCACAATTTTAAATCTTTAACTTATTTTTCTGTTATTGATGTGGTAGCTGGACATTTTTTTTTTCATTTTTTGGGGACGGTTGAGGAGGTACTAGGGATTGAATTACCACAGAGCTACATTCTAAGACCTTTAATTTTTTTTTAAAAAATTTTCGCATTAAGTTGCTGAGAGCCTCACTAAATTGCTGGGAGGGTAGCCTCAAACTTGTAATCCTTATGACTTAGCCTCCTGAGTCACTGGGATTACAGACATGTTCCACCATACCCAGCTGTATGATCATTTTTTATTGAACTCCTCAGATGAATATAAACAAAACTTCCTGTCTCATCAAATGCTTCCAGTTTTATTTCTTCTTTTACATTTTATTATTTACCTTTTTTCAGATGGTTCAAAATTTGGGAATTCTTTGTGCTTTAATTTCAGTTTTTATTTCTATGTCTACTTTGGAATATTAATCTCTTTTGTAGAGTAAAACTATTTACCTTCTTATCTTGCAGACATACATTCCAGGAATCAAACCAAGAAGTTAATAAAAAAAAAAAAAACAATGGAAATGTGTTGATCTGCAACCTTGGATGATTATGTTGTAGTTGTGATACGGAAGGCAAAAGTTAGTTTCAAACAAAACAGAAAAATCAGGAGGAAAAAATGCTTACTGTGAACCCACACATGGCTTTTACTCGACATCAGAGACTCAATACAGGAGAGAGACTGAATGAACTTAAAGGATGTGAGAAAGCCTTCATTTCTGCCTCAGACCACACTCAACATCAGACAGTTCACACTGATGAGAAATTCTGTGAAGATAAGGATCTTGGGAAGACATTTATTCCTGATTCAGAATTTCAGACAGTTCATACTGGTAAGAAAACATATGAATGTGAAGAATGTGGCCAGGCTTTTAGTTTGCAATCAAGCCTTACTGGTCATAAGAGAATTCATACTGGGGAAAAAACTTTTAAGTGTAAAGAATATGAAAAGGCATTTAGATGTCATTCACATCTTAGTTTTCATAAGCGAATTCATACTGGTGAAAAGTCTTATGGATGTAAGGAATGTGGGAAGGCATTTAGTTGTGGCTCAGGACTTATTCGACATCAGAGAATTCATACTGGTGAAAAGCCCTATGAATGTAATGATTGTAGTAAGGCCTTTACTTGTGGCTCAGACCTCACTCGACATCAGAGGATTCATACTGGTGAAAAACCCTACAAATGTAATGAGTGCAGAAAGGCCTTTAGCCAGCCATCCCATCTTATTAAACATCATAGAATTCACACTGGCGAAAAACCTTATGAATGTAAGGAATGTGGGAAAACTTTTACTTGTGGCTCACACCTAAGTCAACATCAGAAAGTTCATACTGGTGAGAAATCACTTCAGTGTAAGGAATGTGGGAAATCCTTTAGTTCTCGCTCAAATCATCGTCAACATCAGTTAATTCACACTAGTGAGAAACTATGTGAGGACAAGGAATGTGGGAAGTTCTCTCTTTCTGTTTCAGCTGTTACTCAATATCAGACTATTCACAATGATAAGAAAAAATATGAATGTAAAGAATGTGGCAAAACTTTTAGTTTACGTTCCAGTCTCAGTGGTCACAAGAGAATTCATAGTGGGGAGAAGCCTTTAAAATGTAAGGAATGTGGGAAGGCCTTTAGGTTTCACTCACAACTTAGTATCCATAAACGAATTCATACTGGTGAGAAATCATATAAATGTAAAGAATGTGGGAAGGCCTTTAGTTGTGGCTCAGACCTTACTCGACACTGGAGAATTCATACTGGTGAAAAGCCCTATGAATGTCATGAATGCAGAAAGGCCTTTAATCAGCGATCGCATCTTATTAGCCATCAGATAATTCACATGAGTGGAAAACCTTTTGAATGTAAAGAATGTGGGAAAAATTTTGCTCGTATTTCACACTTAATTCAACATCAGAACATTCATAAATGTGAGAAATCCCATGAATGTAAAGACTTTCATAAAAAAGCCATTAGTTCTGGTAYAAAACATAGTCAACATCAGTTAATTCACACTGGTGAGAAATTCTGTGATGATAAGGAATCTCAGAAGATGTTTGTTCCTGACTTGGAACTTACTCAATCTCAGATACATCATGATAGGAAAACGTATACATGTAAAGAATGTGGCAAGTGTTTTAGGTCATGTGCAAGTCTTAGTAGTCACAACAAAATTCATACTGTGGAGAAAGATTTAAAGTGTAAGGATTGTGGGAAGGCCTTTGGTTATATGTCAGACCTTACTAGACATCAGAGGATTCATACTGGTGAAAAACCTTATGAGTGTAAAGACTGTAGAAAGGCCTTCACGTGTGGCTCAGACCTTACTCGCCATCAAAGAATTCATACTGGTGAAAAGCCCTATCAATGTAAAGAATGCAGAAAGTCCTTTAGTCAGCATTCACATCTTATTAACCATCAGAGAATTCACACTGGTGAAAAACCTTATGAATGTAAGGAGTGTGGGAAAGATTTTACTCGTCGTGCATACCTAACTCGACATCAGAAAATTCATACTAATGAGAAATTGTGTCAATGGAAGGAATGTAGAAAGGTCTTCAGTTCTGCCTCAGACCATAATCAGCATCAGGTCGTTCACAGTGGTGAAATGTTACATGAAGAAAAAGAATGCAGGAAAACCTTTCTTCCTGACTTGGAACTTACTCAATGTCAAACTTTCCACACTGGTAAGAAAACATATGAGTGTAAAGAATGCGGCAAGACTTTTAGTTTGAGATCAGGTCTGTCTTGTCACAGGAGAATTCATAGTGGGGAGAAACCATTAAAATGTAAGGAATGTGGGAAAGCCTTTAGATTTCATTCACAACTTAGTGTCCACAAGCGAGTTCATACTGGTGAGAAATCCTATGAATGTAAAGAATGTGGGAAGGCCTTTAGCTCTGGCTCAGATCTTATTCGTCATCACAGAATTCATACAGGTGAAAAGCCCTATGAATGTACTCACTGTGGAAAAGCCTTTAGTCAAAGATCACATCTCATTAAACATCAAAGAATTCACAATGGTGCAAAACCATATGAATGTAAGGACTGTAGGAAAGCATTTACTCTTGAGTCACACCTAGCTCAACATCAGAAAATTCATATTGGTGCTTTGTGGCACCTCTATTCTAGGGACATTCCCTCAGCTGATGAGAGAACTATGTGGCTCAACCTCTGTCAGTCTATTTCCTCCACTACCTGGCGGAACTGTAGAGAGGAGGCTGAGGGACCCTGGAATCCAGAAATGAAATCAGTTACCTTTGAGGATGTCGCTCTGAGCTTTTCTGTAGAGGAGTGGGCTTTGCTGGATCCTTTCCAAAAGAAGCTCTACAGAGATGTAATGTGGGAAACCTTGAGGAACCTGGCCTCTATAGAAATCAAATGAAACACAGACTCTGAACATAAATAGGTAATAAAAACGTAGAAAAATATTCAATAGTACTATAGATTCTATGGTAAACAAGAAAACTTCCTTGAGTAAAAAGCTGGTCAAAGTAATTTGTTTGGAGAAGTCCTCATTGGTCATTCAYGTGTTAATGTTCCTTTCAGAGCTCATACCAGCTACAAATGATATGAATGTCAGGAATATGGAGAGCAGCTATACAAAGGCAAGGAATATGGGAGTCCCTCAGTTGTTTCCAGATAACATTCAGAGGGATGAAAGGACACTTTAGAGTAAACATCAAGAATAGATACAAGGTGATAAAATGCTCAGATATTCCATTTTTAATGAAATTACTTACTACAGAAGACCCCTACATATGTGATCAATGTGGGAAAGACATCCGAGATCACAGTTCCTTCACAAAACACAGACAACACAAACTTTCAGTGTAGAGTATTCCTATATAAGTAAACAATGTAGGAAAGCTTTCAGTCATTGCAATACCTTTCACAAGCATGAAAAAATTCACACTAGACAACAACTCAAAATATAGAATGTGTAAATGCTTCATTACCACACAAAGTTTCTAGAAAATTTGAGATTGAATGGTGGAAAAAACTCATGTCAATGAAAGATGTGTGGAATGTCTCTAGTCATCTTGGTTTTKTTCATATATGTGAAAGAACAAAATATAGTCAGGGACCATGACTAGAAAAAGGTGCAAAACTCGTGATTTGGCCCATATATAACAATGCACAAAGCCCTGTAAATGTGAAAAACACAAGAAAGTTTTCAGGTTTTACAGATTCCAAGCCCTGTAAAAATTCCCCATGTAGGGGAAATATATGTAAATACTATTAAAAGCTTGATTTAATTGAAGTGGTGTAGAATACTGCAAAAAAATGCAAAACCTAAAAAGAATGTAAAAAAGTTAAATATATATTGTGTGTATCAGTGACTTAATAAAAATTTTTACTCTTGGGAATAAATACTGAAGTTGGCTGTGGAGGTGTGTGCCTGTAATATCAGTGACTTGGGAGGCTAAAGCAAGAGGACCCTAAGTTAAAGAACAGCCTCAGCAACTTAGTGAGACCCTTTCTTAAAATACATAAGATGCAGATGTGTCTTAGTGGTTAAGAAAGCAACACCCACACAAAAATTCAATACCTGCTACCAAAACAAAACAAACAACAACAACCAAAAAAAAAAAAAAAGGAAAAGAAACTAAAGTTTGAGGTGATACAATTCTATAAGTTGTGTTTAAACAATAGTGTATGGTTTTAATCAGTATGGACTGTTTAAGTTGAATCAGGGTTTTAAGTTACATACAGAGTTTGTTTGTTTTTTTTCTCCTTTCATTTTGAACTATATTGAATCCTTGGCAGAAATGAAATGTGTTCTTCATATGCCAGCTTGAGAGACAGGCCATTAAAAATGAGTTTAGGTTAGGCCTGCACAATGGTGCATGGCTGTAATCCCAGGGGCTCAGGAGACCAAAGCAGGATAATGAATTCAAAGCCAGTCTCAGCAACTTAGTGAGGCAATTAACAACTCAGCAAGACCCTGTCTCTAATAAAATATAGAAAGAGGGCTGGGGATGTGGCTCAGTGGTTAAGTACTCCTGGGTTCAACCCCCAGCTCCCCGCCCCAATGAGTTTATGTTAATAGTTGGAATTTTCCTACTGACTTTGTATGCAAGTTTGTTACATTCTATATGACTATAATCCACCTGTCATTTCTCTGAACTAAGGACACTGTTTATGTAAATTTTATATTTTTTATACTTTTTGACGTGATTCAAACAAGATTTCTATGACATCTTAGAGTATACYGTTTCCAAACAACTTGTATAGATTTAGCAAATGTTACAATTTTAATTACTGAGCAGACATGCACATATCCCAACATAATCATAAATTAGATAAAGTATGCTTTTCCATTGAATTTCATAGTACTTATCATGAGCATAACTTTACATGTTTTTTTCTCTCATGAATTTTTTCTTCTCATTCTTATATTCTCTTCCTTCACAATACCGAAATATGCTGGTGTGAGTGCCCTCTGCAAGAGATCATCAGTACAATAACTTTTGCCACATAGGATACATTGACTTGTAACCCATCTAGGCACAAGACATTTTTGGGGGGTAGTATCAGAGATTGAACTCAAGCGCACTCAAACACTGAGCCACATGCCCAGCCCTATTTTGTATTTTATTTAGAGACAGGGTCTTACTGAGTTGCTTACAGTCTTGTTCTTGCTGAGGCTGGCTTTGAACTCATCCTCCTGCCTCAGCCTCCTGAGTCGATGGGATTACAGACATGCACCACCATGCCCAGCTGGGAAGATTTTTATTTGGGCTTTGTATTTTGCTCAACATGAGAAAATTTAAGAAAATTTACTCCATAAATGTAAGGAATGTGGAAAGACCTTTTTTTTATGGCTCAAATTTTCATCATCACCAAGAAACTCATACTGGTAAGAAAATCTATGAATGCAAGGAATGTGAAAAGAGCTTTTTTTTTCATGACTCAGAACTTAATTAACATCATTTCCCATACCAGAAAGAGACCCACATGAATGTGAAGAGTATGGGAAATCTGTATCTAGGACTCCACCATTTCTGTGACAGAAAAAATCCATACTGATGCATAACCCTATGAAGAGAAGAAAAGTAACCACATCTTTAGTTACACTTCATATTTTACTAAGCAGGAAATTCACCATGGTGAGAACCACTATGAATGGACACTTTGGGAACACCTTTAATCATGACTCAACGTTTGCTCAACAGCATAATATTTACACTATTGAAAAGTATAATGAATATGAAGATTTAGAGAATGTTTTCTTTAAGCTCTAATTTTATCTATTATCATACAAAAACTTAGGAATAGTTTTATTTATAACAATATAACATTAATTATTAATTCATTAATTCATCCTTTTGAGAATCACCAAAGTATAATATGGAAGGCATTCTGATATGGTATAGAATTCACCTTTCTACAGAAAATTCACAATGCAATCCATATTTATTTATGAAAGGATTTACTGATTCATCATCATTATGGAATATCAGGGTTAAGTTTTTTTAAAAACTTTTAAAAAGCTGTTTCATCTTGCTCMTAAGGAAAATGCAAGACACCCCCAAAATGCAAGAAATAAAACTAAGAATCAATAAAAAGGATGTCATCAAACCAAAACGCTTTTGCACAGCAAAGGAAATGATTAAAAGCATGAAGAGAGAGCCTACAGAATGGGAGAAAATCTTGACCAGCTACATCCAATAGGGGATAAATATCCCGAATATTTGAGAAATAACTCAAAAAGCTTAACATCAAAAAACAAAAACCTATAACCCAATCAATAAGTGGGCAAGAGAACTAAACAAACTTCTCAAAAGAAGAAACACAAATAGCTAACAAATATATGAAAAAATGGTCAATATATCTAGCAATTAGAGACATGTAGATCAAAACTACACTAAGATTTCATTTCCCTCTAGTATGAGCGGCCATGATTAAGAATACGAATAATAATAAATGCTGGCAAGGTCATAGGGGAAAGGTATATTCGTACTTTATTTGTGGGGCTGCAGATTAGTACAACCACTCTTGAAAGCAGTATGGAAATTGCTCAAAAAACTAGGAATGGAACCATCATTTGACTCAGCTGTCCCACTCCCTTGAATTTTCCCAAAAGATCTAAAATCAGCATAATAAATCCACATCAGTGCTTACAGCAGTGCAGTTCACAATAGCTAAATTAGGTAATCAACCCAGATGCCCATCAATAAATGAACAGATTAAGAAATTGTTGTATATGTGTATACAATGGAGTTCTACTCAGGCATGAAAAAGAATGAAATCATGKCATTTACCAGTAAGTTAGAAATGGACGATATCATGATAAGTGGAATTAGTCAAACTCAAAGGTTGATTGTTTTCTCTCATAAGCTAGAGTGAAATAAAGAAAAGGGGAAGGGAAGGCTAGATAACATAAAGAACCAAATACAGAAGTTCACTGAATTAGATAAAGGGAAATGAAGGAAGGGAGGGGGAATGGGAATAGGAAAGACTGGAATGAGTCGGACATAATTTTCATATGTACATGTATGAACACATGACCAGTGTAAGTAACTTCCCATCATGTACAATCACAAGAATGGTTAGTTATACTCCATGAAAGTATACTATGTCACAATACACTCTACTGTCATGTATAACTAAAAAGAACAAATTAAAAAAAATTAAAAAGAACCAAATATAGCTTTCCAGCTCTCCAGCTATCTTGACAGCTACTCTTGGTTGGGGGTAGTCCACATCTAAGGCAGGAAGATGGTGGCCCCAAAGAAGACAAAACATGTCTCTGGAGTTAATAAAGCTCCAACTTGTTTTGGAAAATGGAAAGTATGTGCTGGGGTACAGCAGACTCCGAAGATGATCACACAGGGCAAAGTGAAATTGCCCTCCTTGCCAATAACTATCCAGCTTTGAGGAAATCTGAAATAGAGTACTGTGCCATATTGGCCAAAACTGGTGACCATCACTACAGTGGCTATAATGTTGAATTGGGCACAACATGCGGAAAATACTACAGAGTGTGCATGCTGTCTATTATTGGTCCAGGTGAGTCTGATATCATTAGAAGCATGCCAGAACAGACTGGTGAAAGGTAAAACATGCAAAATTTTTCTTTAATAAAACTTGGCAGAGCTTGTTTAAAAAAAAAAGAACCAAATATACATTAATAGACTAGTGAAAAGAAATCTAATAGAGTAGAGGAATGGGAGAGGGATAGAAGACAGGAGGGAAAAGGAGAAGATCATGAACTAAAATTGATTTCCATGCATGTCTAAAGTTGTTAGGATGAACCTAACTACTGTGTAAAATTATAAAGCTATACTTTGAAAAAAAAAAAAGCAAAACTACATTGAGATACCACTTCATACCAGTCAAATGGGCTAACATCCAAAAATGTATTAAAATACTCCATAGTAGGAGCAAAGAAAAGATTCACACATATTCCRTATATTAAGCTAGCATCTCAAAATTATATTCCCTCCTTCTCCTCTTTGTTAAAGGATTTATTATGAAATTTTAGCGAGACAAACTGAAAGAATATTACAGTGAACAACCATATGCCTCCTACCTACTCTACCACTGAT